GTGCTGTATCTCTTGTCATGGACTATTTTGATCAAAGCAAAACCGGATCAGTGTAGTGCCTTAGTAAAAGACGAAAATGAGACTTTCTGCAATAAGGGCCTGCATAAAGGCCAGATCCACAGACCAGAGGTGCCTTCAAGAGGTGAATATACCTCCTGCTGGACAAGTATGGTCAGCATTGCTTTAGATTCTCAGTTAAATGTTGCACAAATAATCTTTGTAATGCTACATTGAGTCCTGCCATCTTGAATATGAACCCAAGACTCTGAGTGTTGAGGGTTTATCGTTTTTCATTTCATATACTTTATTCTTTTATATGTCTTTCTCATCATTCTTGTGGAGAACATTTTTGTGGCCTTTTGTGTTTGTTGCAATGTTTAGGGGAGATGTATTATATTCTTACCTTTTCTACTATCTACTGTAACTTATTTGTCTTTTTTTCTGGTTATTAGTTATCATTCCTTTTGTAATGTATCCCTTGCTGACTAATTGTAAATACTTATTTATTTGTTTACATTGACAAATTTTTACAGATGCGGTTTAAAAGAATGTTTTGCATATGTTATCAAATTGCATTCATGTCAGTAAGGCTTCGTCATTGGCCATTACTGTACAGTATCTACATAGAAAATGAATGTGACAAGAGGAAGTGTAATGTAATATTCCTGAACATTTCAGAAGTGTTAAGGTGTTACACATTTTTTTTTAAACTACAGAGCGTGCATGTAAGTAACCATCGTGACCCCAGCCGCAGAGACTTTTCTTGCTCTCATAGCTACAATGGTGACAAACCAGGATTGTGATCTCAGCAACTCTCCAGTTTCTAGATCACCCTAACTTGGCATTGAACCAGCCATTTTTGAGGTATCCATTCTACCAGCACCCTCTTTTGTATATTCAATAAGAGGAAGCACCATTCAGGAAATGCCAGTGAGAAATTTAATATAAATTTCATATTTTTATGAGCTGATAAAGGAATATATATTACACCTCTCATGTACATGCGTTAAATCTCAACTTGTTTCATTTACAGTCGTTTCATTCACCACGCAACAAAGAGCACTTCATTAGATGTTAAATTTAAGATTCATCTACAGTGTATGGCTTGCTGCTAATCACATTTCTAGGTATCATACTTGTTTTTTATTAACTAACAATCAGTTGTTTTTTGATATTTTGATCACTCATATGCGTTTTCATGGCAAATATGTGATGAAATAACTTTTGTCAATAAAATTATATACAAAAATTACATGACTCTAAAAATTCAAGTTATAAAGACTTCAGTAGCCTATTAAAAGTTCTACATTTAAAATTGTTAGATTTGAGAGTAATGTATTTTAAAGGGGTCATATGATGCTGCTAAAAAGAACATTATTTTGTGTATTTGGTGTAATGCAATGTGTTTATGCGGTTTAAGGTTCAAAAAACACATTATTTTCCACATACTGTACATTATTGTTTCTCCTCTATGCCCCGCCTTTCTGAAACGCATCGATTTTTACAAAGCTCATCAAACGTACTTACAGGCTGTGAGTCAGAAGCGCCAGACTGTCCTTGCAAAGTTGGAACTGCCCCACTTTATAGAAACATTATGTCCTCTTTTGGAAGGCCAAACAAAGTAGTTTCGCTTTCACAACGAAGTTGAGTGAGCAGCGCCCGACGGATTCGACAAAGGAGGCTTGCGGCAACCACATGTGACGACCCCGGGCTGGACTCCGCTTCGTCCACGGTGAAAGCCGATCCGGTGATTGACAGCGCAAAGTTGATGTATTTCCTCAGCGACCAGCACGGATCAGTTCTAGGCATGACAAAGCTGATATCGTCCTCTTTTGGAAGGCCAAACAAAGTAGTTTCGCTTTCACAATGAAACACACAGCATATCCACAACATGGCAGCGGCGGCAACAATACCACAGCGAGAATAAAAGTTACGCCTTCTTTCTTTGCGTGAACATTTGGGACTGGTTATGGAAATCTTCCCACATCGTGACGTAGATATGTGGGGGCGTGTTAGAACGAGCCGTTTTAGGTAGGCGTGGCTGACTCTTAACTTTTATAAAGAATATCTCTTTGGATTTGAGACTTTAGTCTTTGCAACTTTACAGATCTTCTTTATGCACCAAGAGCTTGTAACACTCCAAAGAGAAAGGAAAAATTTAAATCGCATCATATGACCCCTTTAAATGCATATAACATTTTCATCCATTTTAACATAAACTGATAAACTTAATGTGTCACTAATACATAAATGAAAAGATTTCTGCACACTAAAAATCATAGCATAGTTTAACTATTTATATCTATTTGATTTTATTTAAATAATATATTTTGCATCTATTCAAATTGCATATGAACAGCATAAATCAGTTCATTGTGAAAAATGTTTGCTCAGATAAAAAGCACAAACATTGTTAAAATATGGCTGTGGAACAAACATTAACTAAAATGTATGAGATTGAAACAAAGTGGATTGACTGATCGATGATAAATATATAAACCTGATTACTATTCATTTAAAACACATTCAGTTTATTAATATAATATTCTTCAGAAGTCTTACCTGTTTCATTTATGTATGACTGACAATGTGCATTATTAACATTCATTTTATTAGATTGTTAGAATTGTGCAATTCAAATGGATGGGAATTCATTAAATGCAATATCTATTCAAATACATAAATCTTAAATTTAGACCTAAATATTTCTTTTGAGTCTGGGTCACCTCATGAGTGCAATATGTTGAGATCACATGACTAATCACATGACACAAAAGAAAAAGAAAAAAGAAGAAGAAGAATCACATGACACTTTTACTTACTGTTTAGCAGATTTCTGCAATGGCATTGGGAACCAAAAACTAGCTAATTTTTCTAAGTGATCCATGCTGCTAAGAGTAAGTTGCCAGTGCAACATAAAAAAAACCCCCGATCTCATGAAAGTGCGTATAAATAGTATGCCAAATAAAAAATGAAAACTCGTGGTATTGATACGCAAAAATGGACTTTGGCGTGTATATGCTACGCGATGGGTAGGTTTAGGGTTGTGGGGTAGATGCGTATCATATGTACGCGAAAACTGCGTATCATATGCACGCCAACAAATTTCGTATCATATGCACGCGAAAACTGCGTATTATATGCACGCCAAACACATGCGTATCATATGCACGCCAAAGTCCATTTTTGCGTATCAATACCACGAGTTTTCGTTTTTATTTGGCATACTATTTATACGCATTTTCATGAGACCGGGCTCAAAAAAAAACACTAATACTAAGTGCATCTTCAATGAATCTATTCTTAATTCAATTTGCGGTTTAATTCATTAATGCAAACGGAGGCATGGACTCCTAGAAACCATTCCAAATGAGGTAACCATGTCCAATTTTGGTAGTGTTTTTCTGTCTTCCATCTGGTGATCCTCTGGGCTTTCTTTGGAGCATTTAGGGGAAAACAGTGCTTGGTAGAATTAAGGAGGCATGCTGTCCTCCAGTAATTCTTGTCTCTGAAAGAGTGCCCACTTTCACTGCTTTCAGATGCTACAGAGCATTTTGCAGGCTGATGTGGTAAGATATGCGAGTGTGTTTTCGTGTGTATGCAGCTGACACAACTGTGCAATTAGGGGATAATTAAGGGGAAGTGCTGTGTTAAATCTAATGATCGGGCCACATAGCAACAGGGGAAAAACAGATTTTTTTGCGAACAGACACGGAGACGTGCATATGAAATATCTGAAGTTGATTCTGTTATCTTTCATGTGGGGAATCTGTGGTTTTTGAAAGCAGAGAATTTTTAGACACTGGAGAACATCATGAAATATGTCATCTTTGTACTTGATGCACATGAATGACGCTCTCTAAAACTTGGTTGTTGTGTTACCATTATTTAGTAGGCCTATAAACAGATCCAGCTGTGCTCACGGTACACTGCAAACCCAATCACACAGACAGCATTATGAACCTAATGCTTCTGCCATAATTTTTCACGTGGAGGAAGCTGAGCAGTGTGTCTCCTGAGGAGAGATCAGATGCAGTTCTTGTTCCAGGGACAGGCACAAAACGGTAAGAAAGGAAGAGATCGATCTCAGAGGAAGCTTCTAAGAATGCTCTTAGTCTCTGTTTCATGAAAGCGTCATTAAAAACTAAAGCTTTTGCAATATTTTGTATGATTGAAGCATCTAGGTAATAAAATAAAACACTTGAAATATTGCAGGACCACAGTGTTCTTTACTGTTTTGAACAACAACACTGTTTCAAGGTCCATTTACCTCATATTAACGGTCTCCTTATTCTTCTTTCTTCTTCTTTCTCAGAAAAATGATCCAATTCAGTCAAAGCCAATTCAATATTATGGTATGAGATGTTCTCATGACTTTTGTATTGGAGATTTTCTGAAGTGAAGCTAACAAAAGCCATAAATCTGCCAACATTTTAGGATTAGGGCTTGAATTTAAGGCATCTTGCCTTTACTGTTCATATAAATAAATTGTAAGGCATTACTGCATCTCACTCTTTATTGCCATATTCATCATTATGAAAAAGAACTGTAATGACAGAAATATATAATAAATAAAGTGATAAAATGCAAGAAATACAGTAGCTGAAATTTATGAACAGGACAGGCCAGAAATAGTTTCCTCGTCTAGATAAAAATAGCACATGGGAAAATCTTAATATATTTTACTTCAATATTTACATATACATATAATAAAAAAAATTAAAATAATTAATAATAAAAAATTGGGGAACTTACTACTGTTACTAGTGTTTGGGTGAGTAAGATGTTTTTGAAAGAAATCTCTTATACTTACCGAAGCTGTATTTATTTGAAAGACTAAAAACATTAATATTGTGAAATATTATTACAACTTAAAAAAAACTATTTTCTATTTAAATATGTTTTAAAATGTAATTTATTCCAGTGATGGCAAAGCTGGATTTTCAGCATTCATTACTCCAGTCCGTGTCACATGATCCTTCAGAAATCATTCTAATATGCTGATTTGCTGCTCAAGAAACATTGCTTATTATTTTCAGTGTTGAAAACAGTTATTCTGCTCAACATATCAAAAACACATGCTAATTGTCCATTTTTTGGAGGTCAACTGGAACAGCAAGCCAGTACCCCTGAGGTTTCTGAATTTGATATTGTTTGGGAAGAGATGGTTCAGATGTTCAGTCGCAGAAATGGAAAGTTTGACACTTTTACCTTTATCTCCTGTGCACCGAGTGCAAAGCCAAACTACTGAAGCAAAACCATTTCCAATAATCCACATAGTCCTACAAAACTGGGAAACTGGCCTAGAAATATTGTTGCAGGTCAAATGTGTGCAGAAAGAGCGATGAGAACTCTTTTATCACATGAGTATGTTTTTTAAATGATTTTGTCTGCTGTTGTCATTCTAGTTCCAGCAGGGGTAAAGTGTGGAAGACTAATGGGTCATGGTGAGTAGAACGGTCCAGTGCTGTTTTTGAACATCAATATGCAGCCATCTGAGCAGTGCATTTCCTCTCTCAAGACCCAAAATGACTTCCTGCAAAGTTCATTAATTACAATCATCTCTTAAAATATTACTTTCATCCTGTTTTGGAAGAATATTGCAGAGGCCAAGAAGGCGGATAAGAAAACATTTTCCATTTTCCATGTTTTTATAATTCCTCTTTCGAAACACAAGCCTGCCATATGTGGCAGGATGAACCCGTGATGCAGTAAAAAATCTTTTATGGAAATTGGGGGCAAAGTTGAAAGTTTATGAACTACTACATCATCTGCAGTGACCACATAAAAGATGCAGTGATTACATAAAAGACAATAAAGTGATGTAATGTGGGCCGCCCAGTTGTTTTATAGTGACCTCAATATTTGGATGATGAGCAAACTAATTAACGCACAATGTAAGAATGTTAACAAGTTTTCCTCGAAAGAACACAACAGAGGCTCAGACAATTCCTTAAAGGAATAGTTCACCCAAAAATTACAATTTGTTGTAAATTTACTTACCCTCACACCATCCAAGATGTAGGCGAGTTTGTTTCTTCATCAAAACAGGTTTGGAGAAATTTAGCACTACATACATTACTGTCTCATTAATGGATCCTCTGCAGTGAATGGGTGCCGTCAGAATGAGAGTTCGAACAGCTGATCATAATAAACCACATGACTCTAGTTATCAAATACAAATATCAAATTTTTTAACGACTTTTATTTTTTGTCCAAAGTCATTGGGGTCCATTAGTGTTTTGGACCCCATTGACTTTCAGTGCATGGACAAAAAACACTACGACATTTTTTTTTTTTAATATCTTCTTTTTTTTCTTTTTTTTTTGTGAACTATCCCATAAGCTCACCTAAGGTGAACATTTATTCAAAAACAAGTCAATTGTCAAAAATTGGCAGATATTAGTGACCAGTTAGCAGACTAAATGTCTTTCACACATGTTCTGCTATTGGTTCATCTTAACAGCTACTAATGTTGTGGCCAAAAACAACAGCTTGTTTCGCAGATACCCGTAGAGCGAGAGGAACTGAATTGTCACAACAATGGTTGAGCTCTCACTAATCACACTCTGTGGCCATTGCATGCTTAATTACATTGGCTTACTCATCTGCATATTTGTCCTATAGGTCTAAGGTTATTTCAAGCAAAAGTTTGCATATCACAACAGTTTGCCAGTTAAACAAATCTCTTGACCCAGAAATGTCTAAACTAATTCATGTTATCTAAACATCTTCACAAAAAGCAGAGAAACAAAGATCGGCCATCATTAATTACCTTCATTAATCATACTTTACTGACAGGCAGACTATTTTTTAATGTAAGATAAAAAAAAACAGAAAGGGGGAAGGAGTTCAAAATGGTTGTTTTACTTTAATCCAAAGGTCTGTAAAATTGCTTTCTCATGTTTACATCTAAACAACACCTTCATCAAGATTCAGTGTCAAAATACATGACGTTCCCTTTTTTAGGACCAAGGATGTTTGATTACGATTTAAAACAGCTTGTTCCAAAAATCTCCTCAGCTCCTTAAGGAGCCACATGGAAAAACCCAGTCTGTTTCATTCATTCACATAAAGGTGTAAGTCATCTGCAAAGGTAACACGCTTATTTTAAATGCGTTTGATGTGAGTGCAAACAACTTAATCAAAGACACCAGTCTGACTTCACTATTGGCAGGCAAATAAAGATGAATTAATGCTGCAAGGGTGCCAGTTTCAATGTTTTGAAAATAGAGGGACCACAAGACCGAGTATTCATTTCAGCGCAAATTACAAATGCATCTTTTCAGTTGTCGCACAGAGGCATGGCAAATTGATGATGTATGATTCAGGGTAGATCAAGAGGATATTAACATTGCCACATGCTGGCCATGAGATGAGCTCATGGAGGAAGTTCAGCACATTTCAAACACCAGCCACTTTTACATTTATGTGTACCCAGCCAATCATCATCTGTCTGAGAGGCGAAGCCGATTAGCTCTGCACTCAAAACACCAAAAAATGGTGTTGAGGTCATGAAGGAAGGTGGCAGATTAAATTAGGAAAGCTTTACATAAAGCAGGCTCTCAAAGTGTTAAGAGTTATTAACTTCACGGACAAATCTCTGTGGGGTGCTGCTGTTTAAAAGAGTAAAATTCTCCAGCCTCTTATTTTTTTTTTCTCATTCATTTTTAAAATATGTTCCTTTGATATATTTAAAAGCCAGTCAGATATTATAGACAGGACCGGATAAAAATTATCAGTTTTCAGATTAATTGCAATTGAAGCCCCTAAAGGGACATGGAAATGGTTAAAAAAATTAGATGGGATGAAAAATTCAATTTCAATGCTTTTACATTTGCTTGCAAAACTTTTGTGATGACAATAATAGGCAGTGGCAGGAAAAACTATATGTGAGTAAATGCAAATGTTTTGCAAGAGAGTTTCTTGGGTGAATGCAATACTTTTGCAAGAGAACACAAAAGCATTGAACTATAATTTTCCTTCTTATGTCATTTTTTTTCATCACCATGTCCCCTTAAGGGCTCCATAAAATCTTTATTTGAACACATTTTAATCTCAATATTGATTACATTTCAAGCTCAATCTTTTATTACTGTGCACCGATTGTGCTTCAGCGGCGACCCACATGTGCTACTAAATCTAAAACATTATTGAATCTATAGCTACGACACAAGTCATTGTTACCAAAATTTGCCATCCGAATTGAGAGTGAGATTAAGCACATGCATTGTGAAATATTGGCAATAAAATCATGTTTTTATTGAGTAATCATCACAGGCTGCACGCAGTAACAAATAGTGCAACCTGTGAAGTCTGATTCAGAAGCAAATGACTCTTATGAACTGATTCTTTTCAGTGAATCAACAGCATACAGATTGACCAATTCACATACAAATGACTCTTTTGAGCCATTCAAACATTCAAAATGACTCAAGTTCATTCAAAACGACAGACAGACACACACACACACAGACAGACAGACAGAGATAGATAGATAGATAGATAGATAGATAGATAGAGATAATGTAGCTAGCAGAATAGCCTTAAAAATATACCCAAATGAATTGTATTTCAGATGACTTTAGGGTCTTCGACACAAATGGATTATGAGGGTTAAATTGGGGAAACCAGTACTTTCTCATTTTTAGTTGTTCTTTATTTAGTCTTTCTAACATTAACTGCACAGCAAAGTGCATACAAGAATGCCATTGAGTTTTCTGCCAGTGGCCTTAAAAATGGGCGATATAAATCAGGGGAGGTAATGCAGACTTAATTCTCAGAGGAGTCTACAGAATGCAGTGCGCTTACCACAGCTCTTCATGGACTAGACCCAGCGTAAGAGCCCCTGTGGGGTGGACCTGCCGGCAGGGATGGCTTTTCCAGATGCCGGCAGGGATGTCTTTTCTGAGTCCGGACTACAGCCTACATGTCCAAAGTGAACCGCAGAACTTGTTGGGCCAGGAGGCTTCTCCTGCACTCAACCTGAAACATATGCACGTAAACGCCGCATGTGGCCCCAATCAATGACGTGCCCCAAAAAAGTAAAGCTGAGAACACACTGAGTGGCAGCTCCTGCCAAAGCACGCAACCCGGCTAACAAGCGGCTGCCTGGCGGGCACATGGCGTCGGGGGGCTTGTGTGTCACAAAAGGATGACAAACCGAGGCCAGCTGTCAGATATGTCCTGATCTCAATTTCAGCACTATTGCAACATAATCCTGGGAACTGGTCAACAGCCCGGGGATGGTCAAAAACAACCCAAACACAAATGCCAACCATTGAGACATAATGCTGACTCTGGCTGGATAGCTCTGCACGTGTTCGCTTCCTGTCTGAGAGGCTATGCCATGGTTACAAGCGAATAATATAATCAGGCTGTGCCACGCAAGAGACAAATGATAGACTAAAGACAAGGATAGGTGGAGACTAACAACATGATCTCCTTTGATTTATGAAGTAACCTCATGTTGGATTTTGGGGAAGTTCTTGTTTTCAACAAACAGGACATTTAATCCCTATGTGCGTGCTGACATTTCATCTGTCTTTCCTTTAAGCCAGTACCTGGAAGAAAAGGGCCTTCTGTGAAGCACTAAAACAAAGTTGGAATGCTTTGAAGCATTTATGCTTCTCTGCCGTTCCTTTATGCGCATAGGTGTAGATCAACGGTGTCGACAAAGCCACCGATTAATCTTCATTCTGCGTCCTCCCTTTGACGTAGGAAATATCACAAGTCTTTACGAAATCTAAAAAATATTATTAAGGCACAAGTGAGTAATGGAAATAGCATTCCTTATTTGAATAATGGAATAAGCATGTGAAAATGGCTTTAAGCGGTAGGTGACAACCTAATGGTAGCCTCATAAAACAGAAAGTACACAATCCAACAATTCAAAACATAACTAACAACTTCCCCAGTTTTTAAAGTGGCTAAACATGAAAATCACAAGCTTTTAAAATATAACTCTAACCACAGTAGGCGGAGAAGTACAGTAGACAGAGAAACATCAAAGGTCTGTGGCCATGAAACAGGAGTGATAAATTATACGCAGGTGTAAAATTGACAGTGTTCTAGACACACTTTAAAGGACTATAACTCTACAGATGTGTCAGGTTAAACTTCTATTTTTTGTTCCACTCACAGTAGAGGAATGCAAATATAAGTGTTAAGGTGACCGAAAGAGTTTGCTATGCTTTCAAAAACATGGTCTGGAGAATAACCAGACCGGGCTTTAGACACTTTTCCAGAGTCTGGATCTGACCTTTGAAACACCACACCTCTACAAACATCTAAAGGTGATTTTTCCAGTTTTTGGAGTCACAATACCCTCTAGTGGTCCTAAAAGGAGCTTGCATAAAATGATGCTACCACATATTAAGAACTCGGGACATCAAATGCAATAATTTAAAGTTCAGTCACTGAAAACCCCATGTTGAAGCAGAAATCTGAATTTTGGCAAGGATGTGTCTTTTTCAATATTGTGTTTTATGGCTCAGCTTATTCTGCAGTGAGGTATTAAAGGGACCGTTTACACATAAGAACGCGTTTTTGTATTTCACCGCGCTGTTTTTCCATTGTTTTTCTATGTGAACATACGCTAGACGGACGTTTTTCACCTTTGCACTCGCGTCTAAAAACGCAGGGCTCAAGTTAAAAGTTGTTCAGCTTGTATTAATGCTTGTTCCATTCCATTACCCTGCGTCTCGCGTTTTCAAACGCAAAAATGCGTTCTGTGTGAATGCGTTTTTACACTCCACTTCGCTGCTGTTTAATGCACATTGCGTCTTTTCTCTGTTGCGTTTCGCGCATGGTTATAAAAGCAAAAAGTAGTTCAACATTTTGTTAAATAAATAAACAAACAAATAAATAAATAAATAAATGTTTTTATTTAATATTTTTTTATTCCAGGTTTACTTTTCATTGTGCAGAATCATTAGATTATCGGCGAATATCTGGCGATTTTTCACTACAATAACATAACTCCCTATTAATCTTATTGTCAGTGACATTTATGGAAATAATTGTCATAGCAGATTAGCTCTAACATGTCACTAGCAGTGTAACAATAACATTGGCTCTGTGTCACGGCCTTGTGCCTCTGTGTGAGAGCAACATCCTTGACTACATTGGCGCTCAGGTCTGGCCAGAGGTCTCACATTTCACTCGATCATCCAGAAATAGCCCAAAGGAGCAGAACAGAATATAAAAAAGGAAGCTCTCAGAGTTTGACTTCTGTTCAGTACCAAGAATGAAGCATACAGTCATCCAATGATGCAGCAAAACTGCAGAATGGCAAGAGGCACAGGCAGTACAGCTGTCACATCAAGCTGTCCAGCCACTCACGAAATCTGGCATTAAAACAAAATGAGGACAAGAGCATTGTTGAGAGAGTTTGTGATTGTAAAACATTTAAATACAGTAAAAGTTTAAAGAGAAATGAGTAGGCTATGACACACAAGTATGACACTATCCACCTAAGCAGTCTGATGATCTCAGATGTATTAACCACTGCTATTGTGCATCAGCAGCTTTAGCTATAAAATGTGCACTGACCTGTTTACTGAGATAATCATCTCCTGCATAATGCCTGTGCAGGGTGGAGTGATGCTTTTAAAATGAAGACATTTTCAAAACGCAAACAATTTGATGCTTTAAAGGGGTAGCTCATCAAAAAATAAAAAATTCTGTCATCCTGTTGTTCCAAACTTGCATGAGTTTTATTCCTTTGTGGAACACGCAAGGGGAATTTTTGAAGTGAATGAGGACAGGGGCTGTTGAACTCCAACATGACAAAAAAAGCATCATAAAATTATGATAAAATTGATTGATGCAACTGATGTGCTAAATTATGTGTGCCCTGAAGTCACACAATAACTTTTTTGTAAGGAAAGGAATAAATTACATCATTATTCTTTTGAAAATCTTGACATCCATCCTAGCTCTTCTTGAGACTCGAGGACAAGATCGGTTTGATTCACAAATGAATTATTCAGTCTTGTATGGAATATGTCTGACTCAGAAGAACAATTCAATCAGAAAACATGAACTGGCACTTTCAGGTTTTGTGACTGAATAGTTCTCTTTAGTAGAATATTTTCAATATATCAGTTGAATAGCGAAACCGTTCTAAATGATTCATTTGTCAAACAAACTGATCACGTTATGACATTCAGCTAATGGCTTCAAGAAATTTGAAATATCGTTGTATGGACTACCTTTATGATACATTTATATGGTGCTTTAGTAGGCTACTCTGGCTTCATTTACATTTATTGATGCACTGAAACGGGTCACTGAACTCTTAAATGCAGACAGACCACTTCACAACTGCCCTTCACAGAAACCACAAGAGTTTTGGCTATTCATAACCATTGCTACACGTAAAAGCTTTTTGATACACATAAGCAAACATGGGAAGCTCCAACAACACTTTTGTTTGAGGTCACTTTTCAAATCTTTTGTCATCCCATAAGACCATCCTATCACCACCTGGTCAAACCTGTTCTACCAGGTAACAGAATAGCCTATATGCATGTCTTCGAAGCAGTTGCTGCTGACCCTAATTGCCTGGGTCACTTTCACTTAGCCTATAGTATCCTCTCATTGAGACAGCTGCTTAACTGTATCTGTCTTCTAAACGCAAATTCCTCAAGTTTACCTTACTAGGTGCGCCCTACCGTGATAAATGTAATCAACAGAGCTGACCTGAGTAAGGTGAGGCGTGGTGGAACGAGACGTCATGAGCCTGACGCAAAATAGGAATCCTACTACAGCGAAGGCAATCTCATGAATATTAATCAGATAACTCTGACGCCCGTTGTAACCATCCAATGGCGATGGCTTGATTTATAAATATTAATTAGGTAGAGCTGACGTTGAGTTGTTACCTTCCACCACAGGCGAATGGTCGATTCATGAATATTAATAAAACCCTTCGCCATAGTACGATTAGTAAACGCTTCTACTGATCATCCGTAACATCAGCTCCGCAATACCGGCAGGGGACAAACAGGAAATTATAATCAAAAGACAGCTGTAAGAGTGTTTGCTCCATTTTATTTGTAAGAAACAAGTGTATTCCTGTAATACAACTACTTGTATTAATTCTCCCGCAGAGACGATGCTTCAGTGCCTGTCTGGAAGTTCGTGTGTGCGTGTCATAGAAGGTTACAGGTCTACGTGGTATTTCTTGGTCTTGGTATTGGCGTATGTGTTATATCTGATATTCGGTGCTTTAGTGTTTTACGCGGTGGAGCTGCCGTATGAAGAGCAGCTTCGGCAAGAGCTTCGGACCGTGAAGCAGCAGTTTCTAAATGATAATGAATGTCTGTCCGAAGAAAGACTGGAGGAGTTTCTCACCAGAGCTTTAGAAGCGAGTAATTACGGTGTGTCTGTTCTCAATAATGCTACTACTAACTGGAACTGGGATTTCACATCAGCCCTCTTCTTCGCCAGCACTGTGCTGTCCACGACAGGTGAGAACAGACTTTCTCTTGACAATATTAAATAGCCATAATAGGATTGTTTTTGTGTTCTAACCCAGTTGTTGATTTACATGATATCATTTACTGTCTGTAGTCCGGTAAGTCCTTCTTTACAATCATTTACCCAAGATCGGCCGCAATGCTAGAAAACACCGGTGTGGTGTCATTTGTAAGGTCGAGCTGTCCTCTCTGAGATCTCTGATAAAAGCATTTGCTGACGTCAGTCTGTGAAGGTTGAAAAGCTTGTACAGTATGATGTGGCCTCTTTAAACAGCCCAACGTTTACAATAATAGTTTTATATAGACTAAATATGCTTTAAAACAAGGATGTAACTCAAGAAAAGAGACCTGCCTACTGTGTTTAATGGGTTAGAGCAGTCTGTCTCTCTCCCTCCCTTCATAATGAGTCAAAAGTCAACAAAGCTTTATGGGCCTTGCAATATATCAAGATCTTGTACAAACATATAATACAGACTATGATAATATTTTTTTCTTAACATACTACAAAGGGGAAAATAAAAATAAATAACAGTTCAATAAAATAGGATACACTGGGAATTTAGACTCACACAAACACAATGTATTTTGCATATCCTTCTAAGAAAAAGTTGGTAGTAATTTTTTGCTCATTAAACAAGCTTTACACAAATAAATAACCAGCACTTCTGCAAAATAATATGCAATCACATGAAATAAAAATATGTAAGTCTTCTAGAAAAAAAGTATTATTCTGCATAGACTAAATTGCTTATAATGGGCTTCATTGTTTCAAATGACCAGCAGTGTTATGCAGTTGGCTGTTACTGTTAATAACTATAACTGTTAATAACTATTCTATTAATAACGATAACATTAACATTTCAGTCAGTGCTCAGGATGTATTAAACATAAGCAAAAAAGTAGCAAAAATATGATACCAAATATCATAAAACAGATATAATACTATAGACAAAACATAATTGTAATTGGGCTACTTTTGAATCTTTTTGTATTAATGGTGATGATCATCTTCACAAGTCAATTTTTAGAGATTTCACTGTATTTATTAAGACACTCTTACAAATAAAGCAAAATAAGTGCGTGCTCACATATTTACAGCCCCTTAGGAGCCCTAGTGGTTTTTTAATTCATTGCAGTGGGTGATTTGAAGGATGTCTGACCTGGATAAGCATGCAGTGTGTGTAGTGTTTCCAAGGATTATGTAACTTAATCCAGCAGGATTTAAGTACTACAACAGGTAACACCCTTGGCATTCCTGGTAACTTTTCATTATGTGATTAGAATGGTGTTTAAAACAAAATTAACTGGTTCATTTGAGTAAAATGCTAGCTGAGATGAGGATTGCCAGATCTGCAAAACAAAATTTGTCCAATGGGCAGTCAAAAATATCCAGAACTAGCCCAATGACCTTATCTCAAATATCTAAACATAAAATATATGTCGCTCCCATGATTAGGCTAAATGCATTTTTACAGTTACTATTATGCTTTATACACAATTTCAACCTGAAAATCACTATACTGTAGACTGTAAATGATTTTTTGAAGTTAAAGTAAATAAAACAAAGATTATTGGAGTGTGTTTTACAAATTTCTTGTAAAAATGTGTTACTTGCCATTTCTTTATCATTTTTTGAATGAAAATTCATTGTTTCATCACTATTTTTCTTCAGTGTAGTAATCATAAATACAATTACAATGCAACAGTGTTTTCCTTAAGGAGTTCTCCCAACTGTCCCTCTCTTACAACTCATCATCTAGAACAGTTTTATTTTTGGTAGAATATAAAATGAGTAAAATATTTTAGTACATTTCAGTCAAATACATTTTTATGACCTTTAACCCACGGGAAAAAATCAACCTGTGAAATGAAAAGACCCCTTCAAAGAGCTTCATGTGTTTTTTTCCAGGATATGGCCACACCGTCCCTCTCTCAGATGGTGGTAAGGCCTTCTGCATCATTTACTCAGTGGTGGGAATCCCGTTCACCCTGCTGTTCCTGACTGCAGTGGTCCAGAGGATCATGGAGTTCAGTACCCGCAGGCCCGTGGAGTACCTGCACCGGCGCTGGGGCATGTCCAAACCTCTGCTGGCCGCCCTGCACGCCTCCCTGCTGGCCATTATAACCGTCTCCTGCTTCTTCATCATGCCTGCTATCATCTTTTCAGTACTGGAAGAGGACTGGAATTTTCTGGAGTCCTTCTATTTCTGCTTCATCTCTCTTAGTACTATTGGCTTAGGCGACTATGTACCAGGAGAGGGCTACCATCAGAGGTTCAGAGAACTCTATAAATTGGGCATTACATGTAAGTGCACAGTTCATTTAAACATTATTGATGTACATATATACATTTTACTTTTTCTTTCTTACATTTATACATGCTCTATTGTTTAAAGGTTTGGAAAGATTTTTGAAATGGTTTTGAACGAAGTCTTTTATGCTCATGCTGCATTTATTTGATCTAAAAATACAGTAAAAATGTCAATGTTGTGCAATATTATTACAATTTAAAATAGCTGTTTTCTATTTGAATGTATTTTCAAATGTAATGTATTTTTGTGATGCCCAAGCTAAATTTTCAGCAGCCATTACTTCAGTCTTCAGTGTGACCTTCCACTGACCTCCTTCAAAAATCATTCTAATATGCTGATTTGGTGCTCAAGTAACATGGTTATGCTGTTGATATTTTTGTAGATACATTTTTTTCAGGAATCTTTGATAAGAACAAAAGAACAGCATTTATTTGAAATAGATTTTTTAACAATTTTTGACATTCTTAACTGTCACTTTTGAATAATTTAATGCATTTTGTTAAACAATAGTAATAATTTAATTAAAAAAAAATTAACTGACCCCAAACTTTTGAATGGTATGTGATAGAGACAATTAAACATGTACAGTAGCAGAACTTTAACTTTGGACTTTAACTTTAGTTTCTTTAACTTTGGTTGAACTTTATCTTAGGTTGCTTTGTTAACTTAGCGTTTGCACTGTGACATTTTTTTAAACAATTAATTTGCCAACATCACCGCAGACCCCATAAGGCTCTCTGGCCCTCTTTAACCTTACCTGCCTCTCTCCTCTACAGTCTACCTGATATTGGGCTTGATCGCAATGCTAGTGGTTCTGGAAACCTTCTGTGAACTTCAGCAGATGAAGACGCTCAGGAAGATGTTCTACCTGAGAAAACAAAAAACAGAAGACCAGCTAAACATTGTGGATCATGATCACCTCTCATTCGCCTCAGTGTCTGACCAGGCAGCCTCTTTTAGGGAGGATAAAACTGATGTGTTTCCTGATAACATAGTCTCTGCCTCACCTACTACTACCTCCAATGGACCAATGGACCGATGATGCATCCTAAAATTTTGTGTCTAGAAACCTGACACGTTAATGTTTCTGAAACATCTCCGCTAAGAGCACAAATGTATTTTAATTTGTTAGTGTAGGCTACTCTGCTGTCAAGTTAACTGAAACCTTATATGAATACTTGAAACACAGGCTGAAGGTGATTTATTGTGGAAAAGGATTGTATGAATTTGTAGAATACATAATATCATAGGACATCATGGTTCATGCTGCTGCTGAACAGAAAAACATTTTGTGACCAGGGTTTTTTTTGTGTGTGTGTGTGTGTGTGTGTGTGTGTGTTTGTGTGTTTGTGTGTATGTAAATGATAAATCCATCCATGACTTCTAAATATAAATAGTTAACTGGTAAGTGGTCATAGACTAGCATTACATACTTCTACAGACATCAGTCTACTGATTTTAGGCAGTCAGAGTTGATAGATTTCACTGAAAATTGTGTAGTGTATGATGGGCACATACTTGATTTTTTTTTTAGCTTTAAATTAAGATTCCATCCAATCTGAGAATATCAAATGTTTAGATATTTTGAGCTGATTTTAGAACATTGTTTTCATTTGTCAGCAATAAGGGGCACATTTCTGAGTGAGTTTATTGTGTTTTTGGAAAGATTTGAAAATCAGTAGTTGTATAGTATATTCCAACTTTAACTCTATTCAAAGTCTGCAAATGTACAATGCACCGGCAGTTTAACAATCTGTTCAGATTTTTTTTTAAATCATGTAGTGTATTCCAGCCTTTAGTCTTTTTTTTTTTTCATTAGATTTTTAGAATAGACAGGGGCAGGTCCCTGATGACATTCCTAGTGACACATTCTGTAATTCACTCATTAAGGGAATTTAAAATATGTATATTTTTAGTAGAGGCATCAGACAATCAAAAATCTGTATATTTAATTTCTTTACGTTTACGGCTTTATTCATGTTGGCTCTTCTGCAGTTGCATTAGGCATTGTCCACCACCTAAAGGTGCTGTTGTGCATTGAGTGCCGTTACTGTTGTATTGTAAACCGAGAACATGAGTCACATCAGTGCATCAGTATACATTCTTATGAGTGACTGAGTATATTGCTGAAGGAAATTAATGTTGAATTTTATCATTCATTTGTAGTTTTCATTTTTATATTTTATTGCACATGCCTAAAGTCGCACTTTAACTAAACATAATAAACTGGAGATTTTGGTTATTCTGTAGATGTTTTAATTGTATTGTGTTTATTCTTCAGCCAGTAGCAAGACATTGTACATATGAACTGAAACAGAACTTGCAGCACATATCAGATGTAATCCAAACACATCTCCTTCACCTCTCAGAGTTGTTTACTTTGATCATTTTGCTATATTGTGGCTATATAGGTGTGTTAAAACCCTGAGCAGCTGTACAGTCTGTTAACAGGATGCCTGCTCAGTGCTGTTAAAAGAGATATTTACTCTGCTGTTTGAAAGTGAATTTGATGCCATCCTGTAATAGTGGTGCTGAAATTGAGCCGAGGTTATGTTAACAAGGCCCTGCAGCTGTGCTCACCTTGTTAAACTTGACCAGGACAAATTTCAATAAGTTGAGCACATGAAACTATAAGAGACCTTCTTGAGTTCCCCTAGACATTCATCTAAATGTCACATTCATTATCATCACAGCATTAGATGAGGCGATATAGGTGGTTATATTTCAGGGCTTCTCCAAAGGTGAACAATTCCTTCATATCATGGGAAAATGCTCTTTTTGAGTATATCCGGAATGTTTTCATGTTAGTATCTGTTGGTTTAGGTATGATGAATGAATGAAGCATTGAATGAATGAATGATGCCAATTTTATTATTAACATGCCAATTTTAACATGCCAATTTTATTTTCCTTTATATATATATATATATATATATATGAGATGTTTCTCATAAAAATAAAAATAGGCACAACTGAGGCATTTGTTGACAAAGAGTTAAAGTACAGAGCTTAATATTAATGTGAATATGGAGATTATAGCTAATATTTAAATTTATTTAAATAAGAACACATGCTATAAATAATTTGGCTTATTATTTGATGAGAAATATATTTTTAGATATTGCTGCAATATCAGTTCATATCAAAATTTCCAACTGTTTCAACAATCTGAAATCTCTTTGGGAATTAGAATAGAAAAGTGAGATTACAAGAATCTGAGAAGCGCAAGATCGATAATCTCCATTTGAACTTCATTTAGTCTCATTGCTATTTAGCAGAAAGAACAAGATATTAAAGAAATCTCATGAGTTTTCTTTCCTATGGGAAATTTGATGTGTTGTACCAGAGTTAAAGCTATTTTGTCTGTTTTTTTTTTTGAGAATTTACTTCAATAATTGAATGACCAAAGACAGACAAAGCAGAATCCCAGTAAAAGATATAAAGTATAATATGTAAAGGAATATAAATTATATATGATATAAAATTATGTAATATATAAATATTATATAAAGAAATGACATAATAGCAACACTATGAATTCAAACTGAATCATTTCATATTGCATGAATAGCGAAGATGTCTGAAATGTACATCTAATTTATGGAATTACTGAATAGTTATACCCCATGAATTCATGGGGGAGTCATGTTAGCCCAATAGTCTAATTTTACCTTTTAACCTTAAAATAAAAACAGTATTTTTACTCCACAAATACCCCATTAACAAATAGACAACATAATTCAGCATAATGCAATGTTATACATCACTATTTTCCAGAAACACAAAATTAGATAATTTAACCTATCCATATCCATTAATAAATGTGTTGAAATGAGATTAAGAACAATCTATGGTACGGAGGAAAAAAAGGAAGTGTCATCTTGCCCTGTGGGGCATATTATACTGTTTTCCTTAAAGAGAACAAACTATTGAATACTGCAGTTGTTATTTATAAATGTCTCCTTTTAACTTTGCCTTTGGTGTGTCCTTGGTAAATGTGAATAATCTCCACCAGTGCGCTTCGATAGTTCTCACCCAAGATTTTTCTATTAAACTCTCTCTCCCATGGCCTGTGTTTATCCAAGCCAGTCTGCCTCATTAGATGTCAGGTCCCACAGTGTGTGCCAAGCTCAATTTTGAGTTAAGCATATGGAGTGCAGACCTCATGGCTTCTCCCCACGCCGTTCTCCAGCGGAAGGTGTCGGGAGGTTATTGAAAGTGAAAGTGAAAGTGAAAGTGACGTGACGTGACATGTGGCCAAGTATGGTGACCCATACTTGGAATTAGTGCTCTGCATTTAACCCATCCAAAGTGCACACACACAGCAGTGAACACACACCGTGAACACACACCCGGAGCAGTGGGCAGCCATTTATGCTGCGGCGCCCGGGGAGCAGTTAGGGGTTCAGTGCCTTGCTCAAGGGCACCTCAGTCGTGGTATTGAAGGTGGGAGAGAGCGCTGTACATTCACTATTGACGGCACTGTCAGAAGTTTTTGCTTAGCTAAGCACAGGTCACCTGACTGGGGCTTGTGCTGGGGTGGAGACGGCCCTTCCGATCGATAGGTGCCAACCAGTTACAATGAACTCCCCTTTGCTCACCACACACACAGTGGCTCACACCCCCACTGCTAGCCATCTTTCAAAAGCTGGCTGTGGACCGTGAAGCTGCCACACTGCAGGGACAAGATCCCCACACATGATGTGCCGGCGTAATGCAGAAAGAGGACGAGACTCCAGCGCTCTGTGTTCAACTGTGTCCTCCGAAAGACAGGTAGAATCTTTTACATTTGATTAAGTGCTGAAAAGCTAATCTGAGTGACAGTTTAATGACCTAATGGCATAATGATGCTTTTAAGGAGTTTTATTAAGACAGCTTTGATTACCAAGCTTAGATTTTTAATGCTCAACTTACTTTCATTTGTTACAGTTCTTTGCACTGCAGTCTAATTTAGAAATATTTTTTTGTTTTGTTTTTGTTTTTTATAACAGACAGCATTTTCACAGGGTTTTTCAAACCAACAATTTTGTTCAAGTGAAATATAAAGAGGTTATAATATGCACTGGAAATTATAATTTTCTAAGTTTTTTAAGAGCATCAATGAAAATGCCATAAACTATAATGGATTACATGTGGTGCTTAAACTATATACTGAATATAAGATGTATTTATTTATGAACTAACACACGTACATTAATTATGAAAATTACCATACTTAATGGTGCTTGCTTATAATTTCTCATATTAGAATTAGAAATATAAAAGAGTAAACACTGTATTATACATTTGGCATGCTACTGAGAATGATGATGACATGAATGATTTTTCAAATTGGGTGGCTTGTTCATAAGATATTGCTGTCATAACACTTTTCTTAGCAATCAGAATTAAGATTTTCGCCTGGTCCACAATAAAATCTCATAGGCTAGATTTACATGGAAGGATTAAACAGACATAAAATTGACCCCAGGTTCACGTAGGGACAAAAAGAAATTAGAAATTTAGAAATGTGGTGGTCGGAATAATACGCAGCCATCCAAAACACGCTCATAAGCACATAGCAAGATTCACTACGTTACAGAGTGCATTAGACCACCCATTACAACACCCTAGATGGACAACAAAAATTTTTATTTTCATCTGAAATTATTTTCATCTGAAATGTAAAAATCTAATGCATATCATGAGCATGTACATTATGAGCTTGTGCATATGTGTATTAGGATGGGTCTAAAACTTATTTAAAGATATTGAAAGACCCAGTGAAAACAGTCGCATTGGATTTGCAGGCTTTGCATGCAATTCCTTCTTCCTGGGTAGTTCACCAAAAGCCACTTCCTCCCTCATCTACTCTTGGCCAGTTTCCTTCTTTCCCCCTGCAACACACTGCCATCTCTGCTGTGCCAGACAGATGGGCTGTGCTGTGCTGCTGTGTTTGCTGCAATTTACCTGTTCACCTAAGAAAGATACACCGAAGCACGTTCAATTTAATGTGTGTCACAAGAGCAAAACAGCAAGTATGTATTATTATAAAAACTAGTCTCAGTACAGTCAGTGAGCCAGCAGTATTTTTTTTTCTGTGGCAAATAATGCAATATATATGTATAGCTACAGATACTCTATATTTATCCATGAATTTATTACAAAAATGTTTTAACCACTGAATGCTCATGACTTTAAAAAGGACAAAAATGTCAGAATTCTCTAATGAATTATGCACATGGCCTGTTGCTGACCAAATTAAATTAGTGCGAGTGTGAAAAGTGTTTTAAATAGAGTTTATTGGTGGTCGACGTGGATAACGCCAAATGATATAAGATGAAACATCAATATTGGTGGAATTGAAGCTCAGAGCTTAGAGAGGATGTCAGAATTTGTGTCTGCGCAGGCGCAGTGCGTGCACAGGTGGTCGTGTCTTCTTTATACATGCAGTGCTGCTTCAGCTCAGCGCTCTGGATCTCTTTCTGATGTTTTACTACCATGATTCTGTAACTGCTTATTAAAATAGGCTCATCAGAGTCTCAGAGTGAGTTACTGGATGCATTTCTTGGCAAAAAAAACAAAAAACTACAGATGCTTCAAAATGAGCGCGTGACGTGAGCATCCTTTTAGTCTTTTTAAATGCCTTCGTCTAGCTTGCAGTTGGCTGTATCATAAACAAGTTTACACTGTGTAGGACAGCAGTTCAACGCAACTGCAAGTTTAACTAGAAAAACGCTTGCGCGCCACGCGCACACTCGCAGTTTTGTTCACATTGATTGGCAGCGTTTTGTCGCGTTGCGTCGTGCCTCTAGTTTGCGCTGTGGACGGTGTGTTTACATGCAGGTTGGTTCTAAGCTATACATTTCCGCAGAGCGGCGGTAGTGACGTCATGGCTGTCGCCGGCCAAACAAGTTGGTGTTTTTTCAATGTAGGCTTCAGACACGGGTCACGACGAGGCGTTCCCCATAGCGACCCCTAGAGGACGCAGTTCGAAGTTCCACGAAAGGGAACCATTGTGCTCTGATGTCTCTTCTTTAACTTCAGGGGAATGAGGAAGCCTTCAGACATGAGTCCGCGCCGCCTGTCAGATATCAGTCCTCAGATCAGACAGCTGAAATCCCTCGTCATTGATGAAGATCTAAGTGAAGAACTGAAGTCATCGAGATCGGTCGAGTACATCAACAACGCATCCATAGAAGAGCGGATCCTGAGGATCACTGGTTACTATGGCTATGAGCCCTGGA